CCTAAACAAAGTCCTTAAGGAGCAGAAGGAGGAGGGAAAGCCTTCTCAGAAGAACAGAACGGGGGAAACCTGTCTGCTCTGGGTACTATGGCCACAGCCCAGTCTTATCTGGGCCCTTCGGAAAGTCACCTTCACTGGGCGGTGGGGGGGGGGGGCAGATTTGTTTTGTTTTCCAAAGTGCAGGCCCAGCTCTTTCCCGAGGTCTCTGCCGAGGTTTCCCACCCCCTTCCCCGAGTTCCTCCTGCGTTACTGTTCCAGGCATTTAAGCCCCCATGCTCCCTGCATGGGCTGTGGGTGGTTTGGGTCTGGGTGTCGGTTTTGCCCCACTTTCCCCAACCAGACTGAAAGGTGGGATTCAGCAGCTCCGTACATGCCCCTCCTCCACGCCCGCGCCCGCTTGGCCCCCGGCAGCTGGCTGAGCGGGCCGTGGTCTTCCTGAAAGCTTTGCAGTTTGGCAGTTGGCCCCGTGATTAGGAAATAAATTGGTCTATTTCACAGTCATGGGGGATTGGGGCAGCACTGCCCCGTCCGCCTCTGTGTTTATGAATTGCAGCCCCGATACTCAAAAGAAGAAAAAGACTTAGGAACGTCATTCTTAGCCGCCCTGCTTTTTCTCATAAGAAATCCCCCCTCTTCCCCAGTAAAACAGCATAAATGTGAGTAAAATTCTCCTCTGCATTGAGCACGTCTCTGCTCTTGCTGGCTGGCAAGGAAGCCCACCCCCTGGGATGAAGCCCACCCTCCAGGAGTAAGCCAACAGAGCCCCAAGCACATCCTCCCCTCCTGTCCCCCTTACCCCCTGCCCAACTCTCACTTCCCTTCTGTACCCAGTGCTTTCCAGGCTCTCCTGCCCGCAGGCCTGTGAAACCCCACTTTTGCACACCCAAAATGTCATTTTAAGTCTTTGTGATCTTTCTTTTGGCAAGCTCCCTGTTCGATCCTGGCCAAAGGGTTTAGGATTTGGGAGTCAGAACACAGGTTACAGGTGTGCCCTCTACCATCGTTTACTCACTAAAGGACCGGGATGAGCAGCTTCTCTGGTCACTGGTTTCTCCCCCTACAAAGACTGAAAGTAAAGCCGTCCCCCCCCCTGCCCCGGGGCATGGCTTCAGGGAGCGAATGGGGCAAGAGGTGTAGGAGCTCTTTGTGAACTGTGAAGCATTATGCAAAAAGAGATGTTGCTCTTCCAAGACTCTACCTCATCTTAAAGATGGTTCAGGTATCAGTGAAAAGATGGGGCATAATTTTGGCCCTAGGAAGGTTCTTCTCCTGTACCTTAAACCACACATACTGCTAATCCTCCCCTCATTTTACCTGTTCCCTCCCCCATCATCCCACCGACCCTGGGAAGGGCGCAGAGAGGAGGCAGGAAGGCCAGGTGGAAAGTCAGAGGCATCTTCTGAACTTGGAAAGACTTTGCTGAGAAGAGATTTCCTGGGGGCATGGAGAACCATTCTGTTCTAGAAGCCAATTGTCACCACGCCCCCCCCACCAGACGGGAAGCCCACTCATCTTTTCCTCATCCCAGACAGCTCAGCAAGCTTGTGTCCAGGGCTGTGGGTGTCCTGCACCAGCCTTCTTACGCTCCATAGCGTGGGTCTGGACCATTCTAGGACTCAGGTGGGGTCGGCCCACAGAGGATGAGCCGTTTGAGAGCAGCTGCTTAGTCATCTTCTCTTAAATTATTTACGCTTGGGAAGGAACATTCTATACCCAAAGAGCTTGTGCGGAGGTCCACCAGCTGTGAATGTCCCTTACACGACAGCAACAGGCTTCATCCCTGATGAATGTTGTAAACAGGACAGCCTCTTAGAGAGAGAAAGACAGACAGACAGACAGACCAGGCCCTGCCCTTGGGTGCTTCCATCGAGACAGACCTGGTCAGAGCTGGTGAGGGCCGCTGGGATCAGGGCAAGAGGAAGGAGGTGGGTCTACACGGCGTTAGCAAGCCTCCTAGCTCCGAAGCGGAACAGTGGCTGGAGGAAGTGGTTTTCTGAGTCGCTAATACATCACATGCTATGAAACCTGTAAAATAGGAAAGGGCGGACGACGACAGTTGTCCCTGCCAGCAATTCCTGTCTCCGGGCGCTGCTTCCACACCCTTCCCGAGACACTGTCGGCACGTGCGGACAGACCCTTTTCTGACACCATGTGTGGGGTCGTTCAGTACAGGTGGCTCTGGGGTTTGCCTTTTCACTTCCCGCGCGGTCTCAGAGGTAAGGAGAACGGGGCAGCCTGTTGCGCCTGTCAGGGAGCCATGACTGCGTGGATGTCCCATCCCCGTGTTAGCCCCTTCCCTGTCGGTGAGCGTCTGCGTCTCCAGTCTCTGCTTTTAAAAGCACCAGGTAACGAACGACCCCACACACTCGTCCTTTAGCAATGCCACAGCTACATCTACGGGAGGAAGCCCCAGAAGCGGGTCGCTGGGTCGGGGAGCACGTGCGTCTGTAGTTTTGGTAGATGTTTCCAGAATGCCTCCACAGAAACCCATACTTGTCCCGGCTTCTGGAAACAACTCTGAGGGTGTGTTTTGAGCCAGAGTCCGAGCTGGGTCTGGGAGTAGAGGGACAGGCAGGATGGAGGAGCCGGTTTGATTGTCCCCGTGTTTGGACAGTGAGTCCGCCTTAACATGGAGAACCAAGACCCCCACAGGGGCTTCGCCTGAGAGGCTCTCACAGGTTGTCAGAACACGGTTAGTGGCTCAAACTTTGAGTCCAAATGCCCCCCACCCACCTCTGTTTCACTGGTCTGTTGAGTCTCCAGCTCTCGCCCCCAGGAAGCACCCACGGGGTCGGGGCAAGTGTTGGGAGCACAAAACATAAAATTCTCTCTTCACCTATGACGTGAGAACTAGCCTGTTCTGGGCCGCTCTGTGAGGAACCAGGCTAGTGGGCCAGCAGAGGACTCTCGCTGGGAGAACCGTGGAAGGACGGGCCCCGACCCCTGGGGACCTGAGGCCCACGGGGTGCCGGGCCCCACAAACAAAGTAGGACAAGGGCTTCCCTTTTCTGCTCTGCAGCAGAACCCTCTGAAAGGCCCAGCCACACCCCCCTGAGCCTTGGTTGTCATCCTCAGTCCTCACCGTTCTGTGGGCATCACTGGGGAGCACTGAAGCCATGACACTGGGGACGGGCCCAGACATGGGCCAGGCAGCTCCTCTGTCACCCTGCCTGCCAGACCACTCCCACCCCTCCCCCAGCAGCTGGAACCCACCAGATCTCCTGCTCTGGAGCCTCCCTCTCCTTCCTCCCCCACCCCCAAGCCCCACCTCAAAATGGGCTTTGCTTCTCCAGACTTTTGAGGGAAAACTTCTGGTTCTAAAAGAGTTGGGGGCTGGGGTGCCTGGGTGGCTCAGTGGGTTAAAGCCTCTGCCTTCGGCTCAGGTCATGATCCCGGGGTCCTGGGATCGAGCCCCACATCGGGCTCTCTGCTCCGCAGGGTGCCTGCTTCCTCCTCTCTCTCTCTGCTTCTCTGCCTACTTATGATCTCTGTCTGTCAAATAAATAAATAAAATCTTAAAAAAAAAAAAGAGTTGGGGGCTTTTTTGTTGGAGGCCGTTGCTATATTAAGTTCTGAGACCCACAAAACCATGGGTGATCGAGTGTTCTCTCTCCCACTTTCACCTAGACCTGCCTCCCAGAGGTCAGCCCAGGGCCTGGAGCAGGGCTTCCCACTTGGGATGGCTTCATGGGAAAGGGGGTTCCCTAGAGATGACACCCCTCCTTTCATTGGTTCCTTCCCAAATTCCCACCAGGGAAATTATGTACCACCCCCCACACACTCTCGGGGCACAGGAGGGAGAGAAGATGCCAGTGGAGCCTGGGCCTCACACCCTTCCGGGCTCCCTTCTCTCACCTTGCCTGTTGGGTGTTGAGCATCTCCTAGGTGCCTTCCCCTCACCAGGGCAGCACCGGCCACTGTGGGGACCCAAAAGGCAAACCAGAACCCCCACCCCAGAGACAGATGGGGGATTTTGTGGGGGGACAGGAGACTTACAAACTTCCACATTTGGTTTTAGCATTAAATAGCGTGTGGTGACCCCATGGTCTGCAGTAAGCGTGGGATGTTCTCATGAGGGGTCACAGGGCTGGGAGTCAGGAGAAAGGGTTGGTTGAATCAACTCCCAAGGAACAGAGGTTCCTCTGGGGAGCAAAGTCGGGAGCAGAGAAGGGAGCACACGTGCACAGGGACTGTGGACTGTGGGGAGAGGGGCTGGAATTCGGGACAGAGCAGCTCCGCTCTGTAGGCTGCTGCGTCCTTGTCTGTGTCAGAGCAGCGAATAGCAAGTAGGTAGCCCTTGGTACTGTCGTCTTTGCTTTGATTCCCATGGCTTAAAATTTTTAAATACCAAATTTAAAACAAAAAGTTTACTTAGTTTTCCATCAATGTGAGATACCAGACCCAAATCCAGATTCTGCTTCTCTTGGTAAACAAATCAATGTCCAACAGCTTGACTCGATGAGTTTTCTAGAGCTGCCATAACGAAGTACCTCCCGCCGGGTGGCCTAAAACAAGGGAAGCTTGTTCTCTCCCATTTAAGAGGTTAGAGGTCTGAAGCCAAGGTGTCAGCCGGGCTGTCCTCCCTCTGAGACCCTGGAAAGTCCTTCCCTGCTGCTGGCTTCTGACTTTCTCCTTGGCCCATAGATGCGTCGCTCCATATGACATGGCTTCTCCTCTGAGGATGATCTAGGTGTCCATGTCTCTCCTTATAAGGACCCTGGTCTCACTGAGTTAAGAGCCAGGCTGACTCTAGTGTGACCTCATTTTAACTCGATGACGTGTGCAAAGACCCTATTTCCAAATCCTCACAGGTGCTGGGGGTTAAGATTTCAACCCAGCTATTTGGGGGACGCAACACAGGAACAGATATAGATACAAACAGACTTGTCCCCGACATTCAGAATTTAATAACGCAGACCCTTGCCATTTGAGGAAGAGCATTCCCGGCCTTCCTCTGCCTCAGCCAGACTTCTGACAGCGCTCTCCGGTCTCCTCCGCAGCTTCCGGCCTCTCGTCCTCTCCGTCGACACCCACCCAGGTGGTCAAGCAGCACACCTTTCCTCTCGAGTCCTACAAGCAAGAGCCCGAGCGACTGGAAAATCGCATCTACGCCTCATCTTCCCCTCCAGACACAGGCCAGAGGTACTGCCCGTCCTCCTTCCAGGGCACCGCCAGGCCTCCAGTGGCCTCGCCGACACACCATGCCTCCCCCAGAACCGTAAGTCTGGCCTCGTCCTGCGGCCCCGGGCACCAGGCATTGGGGGGTGGGGGGGACGCGGAAGAAGACACTGCGCCCCCCTGACGCGTTGGGTGTGTTTTGTCACGAGTCCCGGGCTGAGGAAGAGACACTGAGGGCGCCACAAGGCAAAGGGAAACTACACAGAAAGTGGTAGCGTCTGGACCCTGACCAGAAATTGTGTCTTGCCTTGGCCTCTTAAGATGTCCATCACTAAAAGCTTTATTTGAATTTTTCTGGATTGGGATCTGAGAGAGCTGTGTCCCTGAAGCCCATCCATGTGATTGGGACTGTGGGGTCTGGTGGCTCTGGTGGATCCCTGGGGCTGCTGGAACGAGGTGGCGTGAACCGGGGGACTCAAAAGACCCAGAAGCTACTGCCTCATAGCTCCAGAGGCTGGAGGTCTGAAGTCCTGGTTTGGGCAGGACCGTGCTCCCCGCGAAGTCTCTAGCAGGGACAATCCTTCCCTGGCTCTTCCAGCTTCTGGGAGCCCCGGGTGATCCTTGGCTTGTAGCAGCCTCGCTCCGGTCTCTGCCTCTGTCCTCACATGGTCGTGGGCCCACGTCTGTGTGTCTACGATGTCCTCTTCTTATGAGGACAGCACTCGTGTCGGGTCAGGGCCCAGCCTGCTCCCATGTGACCTCGTCTGCGCTCGATCACATCCGCAGACACCTTATTGCCAAAGGAGGTCTTGGTCACAGGCCTCAGACGCTAAGACCTCACCATCAGACACTGTCCGACCACAAGCGTTGTTATCTTTGGAGAGCAAGAAGGCGTGTTTGTCACGCAGGGGACATGCCAGCGCTGTCCTCCTCGTTCTTTCAGCGATTCCTTTATGAGATGGAGGCTTCCCAGAGTGTTGTCTGAGGTGCCGGGGACCAGATGCAAGTGTTGTTCCTGCCTTCTGGGACTTCCTGTCTTACTGGGAACAGGGTGACACTCAGATGGAAGAGTTAAGTCAAAGCAGAAAGGAGGTTGCGGGGCGGTGGGGGTCTGCGCTAGAGGAGGCAGGGAAGGGAAGCGCAGTGGTCCGGTGCGGGCCGCCCAGGAAGCTGGGCCTTGCGTCAGTGGTGGGGTTGGACTGAGGGGGAGGTGAAGGGAAAGGCTTCCAGAGAAGAAAAGTTGCCATGACTTGAGTGGGAATAAGAGAAGATCTAGAAAGGCTCTCCTGGGCGTTTCAAAAAGAGGCTTGGTTATACAGGTAATGGAACAAAAAAGAATCTAAAAAGGGAACAGTGAGGCGACCCAGATTGTCAAAAGCAGGAAGCGACTACTCCCCTAGGGCTGGAGGGGCCATGAGAGGTGGCGGGGTTTCCAGAGTCCGTCCGAGGGGAGTCGAACCCCGTGCATCTGCCCGGCTGAGGCTACAGAGAAGCAGCCACTGGCCAGAGATGCCCTTTGAGGGAGATAAAAATCCTGGTGTCTCCGCCACTTCCTCCCTCCAGCCTTGGGACAGACCTACCCAGAAGCCTATGGACTAGGCCGTCTGGGACAGAAAGAGCCTGTGGGGGCTGGGACCGGCAGAGACGACGGAAGAGGGAGGTGACCAGCACAGGGGCTTCCAAGGGCAAGGGAGATGTGAAAGTCTCAGGATACTGGCTTCTTCTCATTGATGAGTGATACTTGGTAGAATAAGCCCATTTAGGAAGAGATGCCAACTTGCAGCGAAAACCGTTCTTCAGGGTTTAGATCACTGGAAGTGATGGTGACATCAGTTGTCCGTGACGGCAGAAGTTTGCTCCTGGCCTTTCCCGATTTAAAGAACAGAGAATCCAGAGAGTGCTGTCCGTCCAAAGTTAGGTTTCCCTCTGACGACAACGACTGGGAAGTGGTGTTCTCAGCTGTTTAAACCTCCCACAACTCAGAAGCCTGCATCCTTCCAGGATTTCTGAGGCGGTTCTGGGGCCAGAGTGCCTGTGTCCTCAGCTGTGTCCCACACTCAACGACAGACATGCCATGGGCCCTGGTCAGGGCCTGCGATCCCACACACGCGGCCGACACCGAGTGTGACATCTCAGTGACATTTCAGCGACCTTCCAAGTGTCCTGAGGGGAGGACCAAGGGGTGGTCATTCCGTACATGGGCTCTTACTTGGGCTTAAAAAGGGAGGACATCCTGACACGTGCTGCAGTGTAGATGGTCCCTGGGGACATTACATGGAGCGAAATAAGACAGTCGTACAAGGACGAAGCCAGGTGATCGCACGTGTCTGAGGACCCCAGGGTGGTCAGATTCATAGACACAGAAAATAGAAGGGTCGGCAGCAGGGGCTGGACAGGGTTAACTGGGGAGTCGTCGTTCAGTGGGGGAAGTTTTGATTCGGGAAGATGAAAAAGTTCTGAAGATGTTGAGGGTGATGGTGTGAATATACCCAATATCCCCGAATCGTACGCTTAAAAACGGTTAAAATGGTTTATTTTATATTATGTACAATTTTTTACTACAATTTTTTAAAAAAGTGATCCAGACAGGACTACAGTGTTCATATAGTTCAGACTTCAAGAAATCAGGGTGAGGTTCCCCACTTACACTCTGCAGGGATACATTTCAAAATCGGAAGACAGTGTCCCCACGGGCTCCCCGACCTCAGACAGGCCTGACCCCTCCGGTCAGCTTTATCACCCGAGGCGTCCCGGGGCCCCTGTCATGGCCTCTGCAGCCATCGGGGGCTGGACTGTCCACTTTGCCGGAGGGCTGGTGGTCGTTTCAACTTCATACAAAGTTCACTTCTTTGTCATTAGACTATGCCGATCGTCTGTAAGCGATGTGCTAAGTTCCTCAAGAGCTTGGCTGATTTCATGAACTTGGCGACCGACTCGATCTTCACCGGAGAAATGTGATTTCTTAAAGACTAGAAATCGTTTCAGCTTGAAAATATTTAGATATAATTTGTCCCTGTCCTTTGGAACAAAAAGATGCTTTCTGTGAACATTGAGCCCAAAGCTCACTTTTATAAAATGTGTTCTCATGAGTCTTCTTCTAAAATTGGAATGGGGATAAAGGTAATTAGTTTGTCTTTGGTCGAAAGTACTCATTTATTTACTCAGCAAAGACTCACAACTGCTGTGTGTCAGGAACTGCTCAGAGAGGGCAAGCGGGTGACAACCGTGTGAGGAAGAGACATGTTTGTCCTTGTCACTACTCGATTAATGGCGCACTATGCATGGGAGGGCTTAAAAAACAGCTAATGGCCAGCTGAACAAAGAAGGGGGTTTGTCTCTCTGGGGGATGCAGGCAGGTTAATAACCTCAATGGAGTTTGGTGAAACCTGGGTGGTTAGGAAGGAAGAACACAGCCAGCCCAGTCTGGCTGAGCGGAAGAGCCAGTCCCAGAGGAAGTAGACATTCTTTCCCAGTAGAGAGCGATAACCAGCTTTGCATTTTATGATGCTCTGTCTGGATGGGTGTGGAAACGAGATTGGATATGAGTAGGACTGGAGCTCAGACGAGACACAGTGTGAAATTATCTGGGCCTGGCGGTAGCCAGGTAGAACGGAGTGACCAGTGCAAAGAAGTAAAGAGCATTTAAGAGGTTGAATTGAGAGGAATTTGGAATGCCGTGATTGATAGAGAAGAGTCAAGGATGATTCCAGAAGTTTCGCCTCAGGAAACTAGATGAATGGTAGTTGCATTTGCTAGGCTAGGGAATGGGGAGGGAAGAAGAGCCGGTTATGGGTGTGTGCGTGTGTGCGTGTGAGCCCGTGTGGGGTGTGCGGGTGTGCATAGGCACCCACACACGTGTGTGTTCAGGTGCTGGTGGTAGCTGCCTGTGGAACGTTCCAGAGGAGGTATCCAAAGCGCAGTTAGGTATGTGCGTCTGGAGCCACAAATTAAGATTGAAAATCGTCAGGATATGAACAGTAGTTTATGCCATGATCGTAGATGAAATCGTCCAGAAAAATATGTGGTAGTGAGAAGAGAGCCAGAAACACGCGGACATTTAGGGCACAAATGAAGGAAGAGGATTCTGGATTGCCTTGAAATGAGGTGGAAAACCAGGCAAACACAGTGGCACGGAAGCGAAAGGAACATTTTTCACGGTGTCTCGTGCATTCAGAGGGAAGGACCCGTGACGTCAGGTGCAGCAGGGTGACCTGCAATGTAAGGACTGAGGTCGGCCCTGATAGCTTTGGCAGGAATACTGTGGTCGAGCGCAGAATCCATGGAACGTGGGCCGGATGGTGGGGAGGAAAGAGGTGGGGATCTCTAGAGCAGATTGCTCGAGAACCCTGACTTTGCAGGGAAAGGGACGGGGCTGTCGCTTTTAGGTGGAGATGATGCCTTCTTCCTACAGATGGGAGCAGGTTTCAGCACTAATCAGGACAGGGTTAGTAAGAAGGAAGCAGGAAGAGACTGAAGGGAGAAGGCAAGCCGTGCGTTCTGCTCTTGTCAAGGAAATGGGTAAGAGTCCTTGGGTGGTGGGAGAGGTTGTCCTAGACTAGGGGAAGGACCGTCTTCTGTTGTGCTCAAGACTCGACGTGAAGGTATCAGAGGGATCAGTACTTTTCCGGTTCGCTTTCCGCAACAGTCATTCCCGTGCTCCTCCCCTTTCTCTTCTAGGAATTTCGCTCTTGACCTACATCTTGGGTCAGAGACCCTAGAAGCGGGATCCGGGGTGGGGTTGGGCTGCACGTCTGTTGGCTGAGTACAGAGTGCTCAGAATAAGCCCGTGGGTGCAGGGGGAGGAAAGAAGGAAGGTGAGCGTGCGGTTTGGATGAGACGTAGCCTCAGCCTGACGACGGGGGAGCCCTGGAGTATAAACTGTGCCAGAGTTTGCCCCGCCTGGAGGCAAGAAGGCTGGCCTTCCTCCCCTCACACCAAGCAGCCGTTAGTGTGGGGGTGCCCCGGGCTGAGGGAAATTCACCTCCCGCTGGGATGGCACCTGTCACCCAAGGACAATCCTAGAAGAAGGTTGTGGGGTTGAGCCCCCAGCAGCGGCCGCTGGGCCGGTGACAGGGACCCCAAGGCTCCGGCTGAGGCCCG